GAAAAGGAGATGTTTAATTTGAAGGTTCATACATTTTGTAAGTTAACAGTATATTATTGGTTTGAATGTAAGTGTAATCTAATTTGACATAGCAGAATTATGAAATTTTAAAATTAATATTACATTTTGTGTGATGTATAAACAGAGATAGAACAGTTCTGTTTCTTTATGTAAGATATCTTTTTTGTGCAAGGTTCAGATTTCTCGTGGGAACGAACGTGTTGATTTGTAAACAAAATTGGTCGATGTTAATTTTTCTTATTTGTTTTGGAGCGTATTCGTTTTCGTGGAAGATTTTAACTTTGATATTGGAAAATTTACACTAGAACTACCGAGCGTCTAATACGATTAATCTTTATCAAAATTGTGATAGTATATTTTTTTAAATTTTCTCGTATATTCATTATAATATTCAGGTGAAGCTATTTATTTTTGAAATCATTTCGGATATTTAACACTTTTAATAATTGCGAAATAGGTAAACTGAAACTCGCCATTTTGACTGGTGTGGTAATTCTAGTGTTAATAATTGGGCACATTTCGCACGAAAAGGTATCGGAAGTAATGGCATCGAAGACACGTGACTGCGAATCGTGTAACAGTTCTTACGTCTGATTTTTGTTGCGAAAGTGGACGAACGGGACAGAAACATTTATAAAAAGTTTCACTGAGAGATTCAACGGAAATCGAAATTGTGCGTGGTAAAATCCGTCGGAACAGCGAAAAAATTCGCATAAGTAATGGGTCCCGACACCTGTTTCGAATGAGTGTCCGAAGATGCTAATTTTGGACCATGAAGTTTGTTCAGTGACGATGGAATGTCACCGAACGCTTATTAAAGTAACGTACAATGTCCAATTATATGTTAATCCTTTCAAACGCGTTGTAACAAGTATTTTCAAAACATCTACTTGAAAAAGAATTACAAAACGACGTACAAAAGTATTCAGAATTAAAAACACTAGTCGAAGAAAAACTTCGCTAGCTTCTCATTTATCACCAGATCGTTC